CGCCTTACCCTGCAGGCGCGTTCGCAGGGCGGCGATGGTGTCGGGGATGTCGACGTCCGCCTCGCGCAGCTCCTCGCTCGCCACCCGCTGCAGCTTCTCGTCCAGCTGCTCCTCCAGGCGCAGGGTCCCCAGCGGCCCCATGTCCACGCGAACGTCCTGCGGCAGCAGCGCGCGGCACGCCATCCCTGCGCACACACAAACGCCGCTCTTCAAACCTCCGGCCACGGACGTGGCAACCGCTCTGGTTGTTTGGGACCTTCAGCGCGGAGAATGTTTTGTTTGTTTTTTTTTTTTTGTTTCATCCTGGGAGACGGCGGTGTTAATCCCCCCGATGAATAGTGAGATCCGGCGGCGACCTACATGGATTGTCAGGGATGTTCCTCTCCAGGTATTCCCTTCCAGCATGGCGGAAACCGCCCCCGCCGGAACAAGCTCTAAGCTCCCGACGAGGTTCTAGTGTAGTGCATGTAGACGAGTCTGTGGGTTTAAGGGGAGAGAAAGGAAAGAGGATGAGTGACAAATAATCGCGAGTGGTCCGTGTCCCGTTTGTTAGAGCACTGCACCTGAATTAGCTTGGTAAAGGTCGGCGAAATAACGGAGACCTACCGCTCAGAGTAGTCGGCCAGTAGAAATCTCCAGACAGCGGCTGAATTCAACCCAACTATAGAGCTAGTGTAGAAAGTTCACCGCCATAGGAACTCGAACCTTACGACCTTTCATAGATACAAGTCTGTAGATAAAACAATAATGTTGACTCTGAGCTAAGCCAGCGGGTCTCTACTCTTTGGTTGGAAAAATAGAATAGTAATGATATTAAGTTCTGTACACGTATATTAGTAGCGTTTAACTCTTCGATGGTAAAATGAAAATGGTCACGTTATCATCATAGTTAAGGACGTGATTAGGCAAATATCTATCAAACAATGGACCCGTTTGAAGTTTGTAAATCGAGACATTACCTAAGAGTATAAGCATCCAAAACTGTAACTTATGATCTCAGCCGTCTGTAATATATTACTTTTCGTAATACTATCTTCTTGTAATAAAAATGGAAGTACATAATTAATAATTTCCTTGGAATATGAGTAGTCATACGCCATCTTCAGCTACAATTTACTTGTTTCAATTATTCTTAACGTTCAGCGGACTGTCTAATTCTCAACGAACGTCAGACGTTAAGAGTTGCTTTTATCGTTCCTCTCGTTGCGATACGTTGACATAACAGTACAGTATTACCAAAAATACAATACACGTTCATTGGTCTCTCTTAACCCTCAGTTGGTAGCATAAAAATGCTTAATTACCAATAAGTACCACACGCGTACATTAGCCGCTCGGAACCTTCGGATGAAAAAATGAAAATGTTTATGTAACCAATTCCATAATATAGACTTATACGGCGTTTAAGCACCTCGAAGATTCTTTGATCAGTGTTACTTTAACTGGCTTAGAGCAGCAAATACAGCCACTGGTTCAGTTTGTGAAAAAGTAAACACTTATCTTGCGTGCAAATGGACGAGGGAGAGGAGATAATGTGGGTGATCTCCCACTAGAGTTTGATGACCCCGGCTGGATAAGTATTATTTTGTTTGTACCTGGGACGCACTCCATTTCTAGGTGCCTCATTTTCCACACTTTGAAATACACAATTGAAAATTGAAAGGGAAAACATTTTCACGAGTAATGGTTTGAGTCATTCGGACAAGTTCGACTGACATCTACAAGTAGACACGATTTTTGGAACCATGAAAGACACGTAGACTAATATAAACACTGACGTGCTGATGCCACTTGACATAAAATGTAAGCCAAAAATGTTCGAAAATTTTGAAACATGAAAAGGCACAAAATGGTATGTAATTACCTCCATATGAAAAGCTGTAGCGCCCTCAAAGTTAAAACTGCTGTACCAAGTGGTGTAAATGTTAGCCAAAACCTGTGTCGTCTGTTGGAGATAAAATTTCAAATATCAAATGGCAGCAGCACAATGAACCTGATACAATTATCTGGTATTTTGAGAAAAAATGTGTAGACTTGTAGATGAAAATATTTTATGTTATACTGTACATAATGCGAAGTAGATTCACAGTTTAGTGACCATATTATTCTGCGTTTCTTCCATAGTTTCCTTTGCAATGTTTCATGCTATATTTTCAATGCCTCTATCCCAGCTGTTTCTTTCAGATTTAATAATCAGCTTCATGAATAGGTCATGATGATGAAATGAGTTTTTAAACTTTTTACATCTTCAATTAAGACACTACTTATTTCTTTATTAATGGAAAGTAATTTTTGATATTATGTCTTTAAATAATTTTTTGTAAATTTTTGGGGTAAATATTAGAAGTTTTCGCGAAATTTCGAGTTGAAATGTGGGGTTTTACAGGACTATACTACAGGATCTACATCTTATAGCAGGAACTATGAAATAATTCTTGAAATTTAAATATAATAAACATACTTGTGTTCTAACTCTGTCTCTCCATTTGATTAAGTTATATTCAAATGATGTCTGAAGTGCTAGTGTGTTAGAAGTTAAAATATTATAATATTACGTACACGTTACCGTAAATAGAGAAAGTATGTGACTCTGTAGCCTAACTATTTGATTTCTATTCGAATTATGTTTATTTTAGAAGCCAATGTTTCATTAAAATTATTTTCTACTCGTGCAATTTGTATTTACTGTCTGTTGCGTTCCCAAATCTGCTATTTTGGAAACCTGATAGAAGACGAATCTAATAGAACCGCGTTTGTCATGTAAAAATTCGTCTACATTTGCAGGACATTCACTTGTTTTTGTTTCATGACGATACTGGTCGTTTATGAGTGCTAGTGTCTCTTCAGTGAACAATACTCACTTGTTTTTTCTGCATAAACATTTCCGTGAGAGCAGTTGGAACAACTTTCCTTCGAGTGCAAGTCCATTTTTGAAGTTTTTTAAAGAGGTGTATTTTCCATAGCTGACGGAGTATGGTCACTCCTTGAATTTATTAATATTAATCCCCTTCATTTTATTGCTAATGATAATATTCATTTTATGGAATGTAATATTGTCACCTTTTGCACCTCATTTTTGCTGTTGTGTTGATAGTTGCTGATATGCTTTTGTTTATGTTACTTTAAATTAGAATACTATATTGCGTTGATTTCTATATAGGGCGATGCAATTTGTTCATGAATTCCACTATTAATGCTACGAACACTGTCTTGAATTTGATAAGTAGATTTTTCGCAAGCGAACTGATCTTGAACTAGAGCTAGAAAGTACGTCAAGAAAGAAAAATGCATTAATGGGAGTTATATTTAGTATTCAAGATAATGTAGAGTTCTAGAGTCAATGTTTCTCTATGTATGATTTCCCCTCTTACGTTCAAAACCATACATTTCAAATTTCACTACACGTTTTACTACGTAATAAGATAAATATATATATATATATATATATATA